ATCAATTGACAACATAGAAAGCAAGAAGTGTTCTCGCCAGGAAAAAACCCACATTGAATGAATAAAGTACGTGATCCCTTAAGGAGATTATGTAATGAGTAAACTAGTGATGTGTGCAGGTTCACCTTGTAATGTTAGGTCAGTAACGTGTGGGAGGTTACGCCCAACTCGGCATCTTGAAGGACTTTGAAGATTAAAGATACATAACATTGAAAGGGGAATTACTCGGACAGTGCTTAAAAAAGTTTTTTTTAGATAAATCTCTGCATGACGTGGTTACAACACCGATGACAAAACCTAAGAAAAATAAAGGTAATAATAATTTAAATCAATCACTTCATTAAAGTGCTTATCAACAGAAAGGAGCCTATAACAAAAACACTAATAAATACTTGCATATAACAATTAAATAATTTATTAATTAATTTTCTCTCGTCGTGCCTCTCACACAGAAGCTGTTAAATTCTACATCATACCTGAAACTCATTCCTATAGTAATCAAGTTACGAGTATCATTGTCGAAGTGAGTTAATATTCATTTGTTTTGTGGTGTGGCCTCCATTGTATTTCGTGAACAAAGAATGCTAAGAATTTACTTATCATTTCAGTTACTTTAAATGTCCGAAGATAATTTAGAAGAAACAGCGCTCCATTTTTTCTTTTTGTTAGAAGTTTCTGCCCACATTGCAGAAACGACAGAATGATTGACGTTGATAAGATTAACAGCAATAACAATAGGAGGTATGGGAGAACACTGAACACTTACGAATCACGATAAACAGTTCACTGTGTTTTGGTATCAATAAATTAAAATAGGCTACACTAAAATATGGAAGCGAAAAGTTATTGCATGACAAGGGTCTCGTGATAGGAGTCCGGGAAATCGGAAATCCATTGCAAGACATCTGGATGTCATAATGTACAGGAACTACACGTTTACGGTTGCAATGCGTATTACAAAACTTTATTTCACTTGAAGTGTGCGTTACACTAAGCCGTTCGTGCCCTCTGTGCCCAGGGAACATGGCAATTTCCCTAATTCACAGATAAAATCACAAATGTCAAGTACATAGTTTAATAATAGCAGTCTCATTATTATTATTATTATATTAATGATGTTAATACGTCTAATGCTATCCTAACGTACATGAAATAAAATATAGATCGGATTTAATATTACAATTTTTATCTCAAATGTTTTTCGTTACAGAGAGACCAATAAGGTATTCTGAATCGCAAAGAAGGGATTACGGATGAAGTGGCCTGCGGGCCCAAGTTTGTTCACTCGTTTTTCATGAAAGACGCCTAATGAAAGTCATCATGGTTTAATTTCCCCTTAGTGATGACAATCCGTGCTTTCAAACACCCGGTTGAACAGATTACGTCATCATTCTGTGGTGTCAGGCTGCTTAGAACGTGACCGAATATGAAACCCAATGATGACATGCTTACAATTTTCGACAGTGGCGGTACGATTCAGCGTTCAGTTTCTCCACACAGATTCGAATTCGGCAAATGCTAAATAAACAGAAGTAAATGCACAATCACAATGAGAAATATATGACACTTCTTTCCGCGCTACGTGTAGCCTTTTAATCTGTATTTATTAGATGGTAAAGTTGCGTCATATTGTGATATAATAAATATATTATTTAAATCTTGTCCGTCTTATCACAATAAATTCTTATTAAATATTAAAATATTACAATAATTAACATTTAAAATAAGATAAGCAGTGATTGATATGTGTCCAGCAAACTCTCAACAGTTGGAACCTATTCGTTGCTTTTCAAATATTATAGAAATTTATATCTAGGAAAAGTTCTCTTCTGTGTATATAAAAGCCAGCACAAGAACGTTCTAGTACACAAAAGGAAATACCAATACAACGGGATTCTTTCTGATCCTTTCTCCACCGCACCGTAGTTCAAATCGAGGGCCACGTGTTGTTTGAGGGAATCTGGAAACCAAGTTCCACTGTCAATTCCACACATCCTATTTATCAGCAGAAAATCTGCCGGAAATATTAACATATTTTAGAAAACAGAAAACTGCCACAATGATTAACATATTTTAAACAGCATGTAGTATAAATTAATGTCTTAATTATCGAAGCATTCAACATCTGCCGTAACCGAGCCCTGTTGCTTCTTATTCGCAATGTCACGCGTTTCGTTGGCAGACCGCATACCGCCTGCTCTAAAGTAAAGATTGTTAGTTAATTGCTCTAAATAAAGCTTAAAATTTCTATTATGGCTAACTCTTCGAAATACATTAAAAGTTTGTTCCAATATGACGCTTTAAAAAGTCAAATTGATATGCATGTGAGTGAATATTCCTATCCTGCCAGCCTAATTCTGATTTAGTATCCGCCACTGACACGTTCAGTAGTCTGATGGCATCGCTCTTTTAAATCAACAACCACTACTATCCTATCAGGGGTGTCCTTAATGTAGGTTTATCCTTATACTGGACTCACACAGTTGAGCTAGAATTACATAATTTATCTGTGGAAAAAATAAATCTGTCTCACGGTTATGCAACCCGGCAGTTTGGTTCAAACGTGACTGCAGGAATCCTGTAATAAACCAAGTCCTAATCCTGCGCTGGGGTTTATAAACTGTACTGAGATAATGTATTTCTTTATTATGACAGCCTTGTGAATATATATTCCCTTTAACAAATGGTGTTCTTATTTTACCGACGTGAAACCACGTAGTGATGGCTTTATGCATATTAAAAGTTCCCAAAGAACGAAACAGCAGCGAACATAGGTCGACTTGCTCGATAAAGCCTGTCACAGTCACGTAGCAACCGGGCTAGAAACGGGGGGCAATTGCGTCAAAGGATTTTATATATATTTGGCCTGTAAATTTTCTGATAAGTAACGTATTGGCAGCAGAAATGTGTTGTTCCTTTTGAATGTCAATCATGAAATCTTGATACAGAATGATCTAAAAGTCCCTGTGAACGTGTAAAAGTTGCAACTAAATTACGGTTACCACATGGCACGACTGGTTACACGAACGTAGTGGTTATAGTCATCTGACACAACGCAAGTTAGGTGAGTGTGTGCACAGGGACTTTTAAAACATCCTGTGTTTACTTTTAATGTTTAATGGGGCTCTGTTTGTTGTTGTTATTATTATAACTGCATATT